CACATATATTTCGAGGCGAAGGACAGCAAATTCAACACCGTCTTCATCCCGTCCTCACACACTATCTTTGACGTAAGCAAAAATGTCTTCGGGCGCGTTTACCCACTGACGCCGAGCAGAATCAAGGAAGCTCGCCAAGCACATCAACTACCAACTACCTACCATGCACGCTACTATCGCTCTACTTCCGCTGCTTGCCTTTGCGATGGGCATCGCTGCAGCTCCAGCGCCCCTGCATCCCGTTGCCCGGGCCGTACCAGACATCAACGAAGTCGCCCGAAACCCGGCTCCCATCGATCATCATGTCGGTTGGGACGACCATGGCAAACCGACACTCGGGGATATCAGCCACCTCAGTCCAGAGGACATCAAGAAGCTCAAAGACCTCATCAAGCATCTACTTGGTGGCAGTCATTCTGCATAGGACCCTGTCGGAAGTCGTACATGGAGAAAGTGATATCTTATAAGGTACGCGCTCGAAACTTTGCTTCTCTAGGATGTGGCTAAGAAGTGTAGCTCCCAGAATTCTTTTACAGACAGATATGCCATCTACTTGCGCATACGAAAGAGGTAAAGTCCTTTACCCTCATGCGTCGTTGCTTCAGCCCACAGGGCCGCCATAGCAACATGATCAAATACGACTACTTTCGAAATTTTCACTGCTCTATCTTACTTGATCAGCCCTGAATATGCCGATCTGTCTTGGCTAATTCCACGGCCTTTCTGATGCAACAACCTGTGAGCAGCTATCATCTGACGGGCAGCGCCACTACTGCAGCGACCGCCCCACTGCAAGCTCGCGTATCAATGGAGCACTGCACAAGATATGTGCTGGCAAATGTTCCACGACGGCATTGGCCAATTGACCATCAATCGCCCGGCAACATAGTCGTGACACAACGCCGAGCCTGGTGTGTCACAAAGGTCACACCACGGTAGGAGATCCCAAAGTGAGCTAATTAGCGATGGCAAGATGACGAGTGTCGTCGTCGCTAGCAAGCTCACACACCGGCTTTTCTCCGCCGCTTACTCCCGTAGCTCCCGACGTGTACCTTTCACTAACATACCAGCAAATCCCAACCTGACCCGAACTTCCGGCGCGGTAGCACGAACGCCTCTTTGAAACAGAAGAATGTCCAATCGAGGATACACAAGCGTCTGGCCGGCCTTGCATGTTCGTCCCTCTGTGTGGCTACACCTGCGCAACGTCGTACCGCCGCTTCCTGGTCTAGCAGACCCCTTTCCCCCGGCCTACTAACAATCCAACTAACTTCGCTTGTTTGCAAGTGTCTCGCTCCAAGATTAAGAGCGGATAATGACAGCGTGTGCTATGTTGATTGTGAGCGAGCCCTCAATGCAGGTTACCTTTACTGTGGCAGCTCGCAATCTCACATTGCTTGCACGTCATGTCGGTATTAGACGGTTGAGCGCGTTTGTAAGCTCCACCTTCATACAAACGAACAAACAGCCCGTTTGCACGCCTTCCCTTGTCTATTCTTGCGCGTGATAGGCCGCGCATAATACCTCGCTATCTATTACTGGCGCACTCAATTCGTCGGTATCTAGCCATTCTAACCTCGGATACGATGCAATGATGCCGCAATCTCCTTTTGCTTCTTCCCATCATCCCCTCCCGCGCCAACCGGGAAGCAGCGCGGATGTCGGTCCGTACATCAATGTGATTACGTGGGTTCTCTTGATTACGTCCGCGTTGGCGGTCCTGACTAGGCTTGTTACCAAGCGTGCGTTGAGGCGGAACTTAGATATTGACGATGGTTTTGTCTTGCTGGCTTTGGTACGTCACGTTTGATTGAGATGGATCATTGTTTCAAATCCCACTTTTGCTGACTGACGGGGACCAGATTGCGACTATTGGTTCTGGTGTCTCTGTTAGTGTCCAGGCAGGTAATGGCCTTGGAAGAGACATCCTGTTGTTGACCGAGGATCAGATCTTGGCGTATCAGAAAGTAAGCGGCTTAGTGACCGTCGACTACATTGATATCCTGCTAAGTTCTTTTGTAGGCCGAGTATGCGAACAAGCTGCTCTACATTGCAACTCTATGTTTCGCAAAGTTGTCCGTCATATCGCTGCTCAAGATTCTGACCGCATCAAAACTACACCGGACCTTAGGCTTGCTACTCACCGTCTTCATAGCTTCTTGGAGCATCCTGTCCGGACTTGTATCTGCGTTTCAGTGCGGCGCTGAAGAGCCATGGCGCTTCCTTGAGAGAGGGGGGAGATGCTTCGACTTGGTATGTAAAAATTCTGCCGTCTTCTTTGACATTGCTGACACTTCGAGGAGGCCACTTTCTGGCAGTCCGTGGGCGTCGTGAACATACTGACGGATCTGGCGCTCATACTGTTCCCGGTTCACGTAATCATGACGCTACAAATGAGTACGGGCAAGAAAGTTACGATCCTGACGTTCTTCGGCGCACGTTCACTGTAAGTTTGGCAAACAACCATCACAGTAGTCTTCTACTAATGCACCACAGAGACATCGCAGCGACTGCCGTCCAAATGGCGTTCCTCCACGGCTTCGCTTCACTCAACCCGACGAAAGACCTCTGGACATGGACACTCCTCACCCAGATCATTGAGTGCATCACTATCCTTACATCATGCGTACCCTACCTACGACCGCTCCTGGAGCACGTTCCATCAGGTCTCTACGGTACCGACACGATACGACAACGAGGTACAACCCTAGAGCACGGCTACTCGCGCACTAAAAGCAATTCGTATCAGCTCTCCAGCATCGCTTCGAAAGTGGGTGGCGCAACAAAACATAATCGGAAGAGCCAGGTGGAAGGTGGCGGGCTCAAACGCTTTCTACCAATATTCTCGCACAATAGAACGACAAATGCGAGTTCCGCATCGGGTATCCCTGGAGGCCCTCCGCGACCTGACGGCGAAATGGATGTCGAAATAACAGCTGTACATCACAAGCACGATGGGGAAAAGCGATGGGATGACAAAAGATGGGAGACCGCAAGTACTGGGAGCTTTCCAAAGATTCTGAAGACTACTGTTGTTAGTGCAGAATGGGAAGACGTGGGAACAAAGCGTGGCGATGCTTCCAGTGATGAGATTGCGATTTTGCGTTGATGTGCGCTCGTTAGGGGCGCTTTTGTGGTAGCATCAAGAGTTCTATACCTGTTAATCTGGTGCTATAATTCAACGAATCCACTTCTGCACGATCTTCATGATCTCTGACTGTATCAGAGGAATTACGACACGTTTGTTTGCCAGTGTCGACGTCGAAATGCGTGAATATTGTGACATCATACGCGTGAGATTACAGTCAATGCTCCAGCGATGTGGTATCCCCGTGGGCCTGTGAAGCCGTGCGAACGTTTTGCAGTGCGAATCGTCGCGTGGCTCACGCACGGGTTCCAGCCTTGAAGATCAGTGAGCTGGTTCCAATTGCAACTATCCGTCTGAAGGTTTAGAACTGACATGCCACTTAGCTGCCAGTACCCAGTCTAAATTGCTCATAGGCTAGAGAACCTTGAATGAGCATAACTTGCACGCGAGGTGAGTCAAGCCCGATACCAAGTCCGGCGTTCAAGTTAGCCCCACGCTTGCTCCAGTCAACAGGAAGTCGTGCGACTTTTTGGGCTTTCGCCCCCTGTAGCATGCCGCACTTGGACTTCTACTAGGAGATGTAACGCGGCATGCCTGTGGCTGCATATGTCAGCCTCTAAGAGTAGATCGAGATGCAACACGCGTGAACTGCATCTGCGCAGGTTCCCGACAATAGTACGATGTCTGAGAGTCACGCTGAGGCGTGCAGGTGATTGTAGTGGACTCTGTGCAAGGGACAGAATAGCTAGACGCCACATTGAGATCGGCCTGGTTGTGTTCAGGTAACGCATTCTCTGCTCGCATGGAACCTTTAGGACACAAAAGCACCACACGACTCGCTTGGAATGCTGGAACAGATATCGCGATGCGTCATGATAGCCGTTGAGAATGCGTGCACGAATGGAGGAGGCGACTTCCCACATGGGCGGTCGATTACTAACTAGCGTCACACAAGATGGAATGAACCCCGGAGCCACCCCTTCCGTCTTCCCTCATTCCCCAACCACCGCACCGCTCATCGTCGAATTCGTGCCACGGACAATCTGCCGGGAGGTCTATGCCTTCGACTACAACGGTATGACAGCCGTTATTGTGACCACATGCCGCATGCTCTACCCTCGATCAGCATGCCGAGGGGAGACTACGGCGGCCCAATGTTGCACGCTGAGTGACATGCAGCGAGGAATGACGCTCTGAACCCCTTTTCGCGATTGAAAGCCATCATGATCTACTGCTGAGTTCGGGAAGTACCAACGCCTCTTTCTTGGGCATATGCAAAGCGCGACGCCCTGGTGCAAACACGCATCTGTCCGTTCCAGCATCGACCATGCCGTTTGACAAACACGCGAAGACCGGGGAATGTTAATTTCGCCTCTACCACACTTGATACATGCGAACAAGGGTCTGCAGGAATGCATGTCACCGCTTTCCGCAGGTTAGGCACCCCAATGGGTGCGACCGACGCACCAATCAACGCCCGTTTCACTGTGGGGTGCCCTCTGAAACTACGACTGCAGTGCGATACGTCGACTTGCGAGCTGCCGCCGTCACTGCAGAGAGCCTACAACTGCCTTTGCGGTGCAAAACGTTGGCTTGGTGTCTTTCACTCGGACGCTTAGTTGCATTGCCGAGCGACCGCCTCCTAGACCGACTTCACTACCGTCTTTGCCGGCGATCACCGTACTACCGCATCCACCCGTGGACATCTGCACATGGCGCACGTTACCTCTAGAAGGGATATATATCGAGATTTACTTGCATAGCATGCGTCCTGTATCACGACACACCTTCTGGGTATCTTCTTTCCTTTTCTGGTCTGCCTGCTTGCCCGACATTTGTTACTACGTACTGCGGTCGTATCCGTCTTGTTGCTCAACACGCCGCGCATTGAAAAGCTGGAACCAAGGCTATCATGGAGAAGCACATCGAACTACAGAGGTTCAACCATGAGCCTCTGCGGCCGAGGGGCCGGGGCTCCATTTCGGAAGGCAAAGGCCAGCAGTTCGATCACGACAGATATGAATTGGCGAAAGTGGGAAAGAAGCAGGTGTTGAAGGTAGGCGCTGTTTTGACAATATTTTTGCTCGGTCTGACCATGGTAGCGTCGCTTCGGACTGGTGTCTATGACCGGTCTCTCTTGCGGGTTGATGTGCACCTGGGAGACTTTGCTTGTGTAAGTGAATGTGATTGATACCATCTACTTCGCTGACGTCATGGCAGTATCTTTTCGATAGGCTTCCACAAGTAAGTACCTAATCTCTAGAGAAAGTCGGCAGCCACTGACGATGTGATTACAGCGGCGGACCTGCTGGCCTCATCTACGGCTTCATTCTGATTTGGCTGGGTAACTTCTCCGTCTTCATCTGTATCGGTGAGCTTGCGAGCGCCGTTCCGACTGCTGGTGGCCAGTATCACTGGGTCTCTTTACTGGCGCCGCGCTCAAACAGGAAGTTCTTCAGTTACGTGACTGGTATGTTCGTCCACTTTCAAAGCCATGGTAATCATATTGATCATCTTAGGTTGGCTCACCGTCATTGGCTGGATCGCAGCTCTTACTTCCGTATGCTACTTTGTAGCCGACTTGATCCTGCAGTTGGTCAGTCTGAACGATCTCGAGGGCACATATGTCCGCGAAGGCTGGCACGGTACACTTCTCCTCTGGGGTATACTGCTCTTGTGTGTCTTCATCAACGTCTTTATAAGCGGAGCGCTTCCCACGATCGAAGTCGTCGTCCTCATCGTCCACATCCTTGGCTTCTTTGGTATTCTGGTGCCGCTGATCTACTTGCCATCGAGCCACAATTCGGCCAAGAAGATCTTCACGATGTTTCACAATGAAGGAAGGTGGAGCACGGAGGCTCTGGCCTTCTTTGTGGGACTACAGGGCAATGCTTTGGCATTCGTCGGAACAGACTCAGTCGTCCATGTAAGCTCAACATTCCGAATATGTCTTTCATTGCTAACGAATTAGATGTCTGAAGAGGTCAAAAATGCCAGCACCGACGTTCCACGTTCAATGCTTCTCAGTCTCGTCATCAACGGCACATTGGCATTAGGAATGCTCTTCGCCGTTCTCTTCAGCGCCCACGATATCACAAAGCTACTCAAGGACCAAGAAGCGACAACCGCGCCTTTCCTGCGCATCTTCACACAGGCTGTCGGTTCCGAGGCCGGTGCTACAGTCATGGTTGCAATCATCGTCCTACTCGAATTCTGCAGTGCAATGGGGTGCCTTGCAGCTGCATCGCGCATGACATGGTCGTTCGCCCGAGACCGCGGCCTTCCTTTCTCTCGCGCTCTCAGTATGGTAAGCACACCTACCCATAAATACACAAGCCAAGAGCCTTCCACTGATACCCCACAGATCGATAAACGCAGCACCATCCCCGTCGTCTCCATCCTCGTCGTAACCGTCTTCGCCGCCCTTCTCGCCCTCATCAACATCGGCAACAGCGCCGCCTTCAACGGCACAATCTCCCTCGTCCTAGAAGGCTTCTACCTCTCCTACCTCCTCGCCATCGGCTTGCTCCTCTGGCGCCGCGTCCGCGGCGACCTAGACAACCCGGACTCATCGCTCACAATCTTCAACGAAGCACAAGTGGACGAAGCCTACGATCGCACTCTGACCTGGGGCCCTTGGCGTCTCAAGGGCGCGTGGGGCGTTGCCAACAATGTCGTTGCTATCTGTTACCTTATTCTCATCATCTTCTTTAGCTTCTGGCCTAGTCAGCCCCATCCGGATCTAGTAAATATGAATTGGGCGGGTGTGGTAACTGGGGCAGTGGCGGCGTTTAGTGTGGCGTACTACTTGCTGTTTGCGAAGAAGTCGTATACTGGGCCAATTGTTGAGGTAGATCCTCATGTGTTGTGAGGGGGATTCGGAGTGAGGCTATTGTGCACCTCTGGGGTCTATGTGCAGTGGGACAACGTACCAGAGGAAGGCTTTCGAGAATTACTGCTGTGTAGTGTATGCTAGGTGAAAAGTTCCGGGACATAGAGGCTTACAGTTGAGGTTCAACAAAAGCGCGGTATATATAGACTTGACATACCCATCAACCCGACATGAGTTACGAAAAATATGATGACAACTCGCCTTCCATATCTGTGAGGCCCTGAAGAGCTGTCAATGCCTCTACACTACCTTAGACAAACCTCTCAAAACCTCACTCACTATACACCGATTGGGACAAAAAGTTGTGATCATAATCATTCGTTATCATACATAACTCATAGCATGATGACATTTGCCTGTATGTGCGCGCCTTTCAAAGCCAAAATAGTACTCATGTGCAATAGAGCGTGAGAAAAGAAGAAGAAGAAGAATCCAAATAACCGGCCGTAACTCGTAAAAATCCATGAACAAGAAAATGCTGCACCAACAGCCCATCTCCGCCAGCCTCCAACTTCAAGACAGAAGCATCCAGATGCCCTGCCACTTTTCCACACCAAAATCTTGAATCACCCCAAGCTTAAGAAAGCGCCCCCATAGCCAACGCCACAATCTTAGGATTCGGTTTATCCTTTCGAACCAGAACTACCAGAAGAATCAACGAGCCGTTCAAAGTGTGTGTGCTAATGGGCCGAGCGAACAAGGGCTAACCTACCCTTCCGGTCTCTGTCAACGCGCATAACCTCCTTGCGGGGCGTACGCTCGACAAACTCATACTCGCGGTCGCCCTCGCGCTCGTACTTGAGCATGCGGCGCTCCTCCTCGAGGAAGCGGATTTCGTCGCGGATATCGCGCTCGGAGCGCCGGTCGTCGCGGCGCACGAGTTGCCGGCCTTCGGGGAGGAAGGCTGTGGCCGGGCCGTGGATGGCGGCTGAGCGGTCGATTTCGACGTAGCGCTCGTGTTCGTGGATGGAGGGGGAGGGGGCGCGCTCGGAGGGGGCGTAGACGGTGGGCGCATGGTGGGATGGAGCATAGATTACTTGGGGTGGGGGTTGTTGGTATACTGATTGTGGGGGTGGAGGAGGTGCGTGGACTACGGAGGGCGGCGGAGGTTGGAATTCTTGAGGGGGTGGTGGGGGAGGTGCGATGACTGATGCTGGTGGTGCAATGGAGGGTGGTGGCGGTGGGGCGTCCTCCACCTTCTCCTCGTAGACGTAGGTGATTTTCTCTGCTCACGGTTAGGAAGGGTTGTAAGAATATTGGCGGATACGTACCCTCTTTGTAGTTCTCGCTGATCTTGATGACCTCGTCGATGTGCTCTTTCTCGAGTGCTCGGGTAACAACGATAAAGTCGTCCTGCTAGAATTAGTGACATTCCAATAGTGCGTGCGGATGGCATACCTCTTCCTCATATGGATAGCCCAGGTCGATAACGGCTTGCTTCTTGACCAGGCGCTTGGGAAGTCTCGTCTTGCCCTTCTTGCCCCAGGTGGCTCGGGAAGGCTGGATTTCTTCGAAGCTGGAGATAGAAGAGCTGCGTGTTGACTTGGCTGCTACGCTCTTGCTTCTTCGGACTCGGCTCTTCTCGCGGTGAACTTCAACCTCGCGGTAGTCTTCTCGTTCCCGGCCCCTTCCGCCACGGTCGTCGTATCGGATCTCTTCAAAGTCATCTTCCTCGTGGAAACGACGAGGTGGTGATCGTCGACGCTCGCGAATGGGAAGTGGAATGGGAACGTTGGCTGGTGGACGCCACTCGTGGTCTTCGTATCTCTCGTACCTCTCTACGTCGCCATAGCGCGGCAGGGGTTTGCGGTCAAAAGTGTCGAGAGATGATTGACGGCGCATGAACTGCGGCCGTGACGGCCTGGGCGGGCGAGGGGCGGGCCGGCGCTCATTGATGTCGATATCGATGTTGATGTCCTTGTCGATGACGGACCTGCGGCGGTAGGGGGCAAGTGCTTGGTTGGCAATCTCGGAGGGAGTCGGCTCGTGGAACATCTCGGAGGGAGCGCGGCGATGAGGGCGGTCGAAACGATCTTCTTCGTGGTAGCGTTCTCTCTCCATGACAGCAGGACCTCGGCGTGCGCGGTCTTCATGGAAATCGATGTCACGGTGGCCTCCGGGGAAACGATCGTGCTCTTGGAAGCGGTAGTGATCGTAATCGTCGCGACCACCACGGCTGCTACCGCCAGCCACACTTCCGCCCGGTGGTGGCGGAGGAGGAGGTCCCCTTCGCATGCTCTCAAACCTGTCGCGATCCCATCGCTGGGGACCGCCACGAGGCGGCTCGTCAAAGCGATCGAGATTGCCCGTTGAGGAGCGGTACGCCGACATGTTGGGTAGTCAGGTGCGGCTCGTCGATGGGTGGTGATGTAGGAGTAGGTATGATGCGGGGCTGCCGGTTATGTGTCGGAAGATGTCACAAGAGAATAAGGTGTGCGCTAGGAAGCACGGCAACGGGAATGCGACAGACTGACGGCGGCGCAACAAGCGGACACACGAGAATATAAGTGTCTTGGATCCAAAGCCTGCCGGAGAATTGGTGGTGGGTGGGTGCGACCAACTTTAGATGCAGGATTCGCGACGGGCTTCGTCATCGGCGCTCGCGCATCATGCCAGGGCTGCATCTGGACTGGGCGCTAACCGGCGCCATGACTGGAGGGACGCACCCCTGGTGTTACATGGTTTCTCATTTGTCGCGGAGTTCCCCATGGTTCAGTTTCATGTGAATCAATGTGGACTCGGGCTGATGTTGGGCATTTTCCGCTGTCATGTGAGATCTCGACATCTTCTTCGCCATGATCGGGAGAGGAAATACTTGGTCTTGTTGCCCAAAGGGCCTTTCTAGACACCAGGCTATCCTTACCGTGAGTTCCTGGTCGTCGGCCGTATTGGATGGGATGCATGTCCGCAGAACGAAGTCTTGACAAGCGGTGACGTCAGGGCACGAGCTTGGAAGCGGACCGCGGCGCAGTTCACCGCCTAGCGCAGCCTCAGCCACGGTTGCTCACAGCGTTGTAACGCTGCGGCTTGGGCTTCAAAGGGAACAGACGTTCCCAACGCTTTCGGCGAAACTTTTCGATGTTGGGTTGTCACCGCTGCCCACGTTCTGGGGGCTTACAGACCGATGGTAGCGATACCCCGCAAAGAACGTGTGTACCATGATGATGGATCTGCTAACCCCACGGAAAAGCAATAATCGACGATGACGGATACTCTTCGGTGTCGTAATCTGGCCGTCTCGTTCGTTACCTCGTTTGGAGAGGAGTCCGTAGTCTACATGATAGATGTACAGTTATGCTACAATTCGTCCAATCCCACCCAGCGCATCGTGTGGCTTATTTGACTCCAACAGCTTCTTGGATCTTTTTGGTGACATGCTCTAGATCATATGGCCGTCCCTTGAGACCACCCATGACTTTACCCATAACGCTGCCAAAACTCCTCTTGCCCTCCTCTAGTCCTTCGATCACGCTCTTGACTAAGGCGTCCACCTCACTGTTCTCCACTAACGGTATCTCCTGCGCATAGCCCTTCAGCACATCCAAGTGCGCCTGCTCTTTCTCGACGAGGTCCTCCCTCTTAGCATTTCGGAACTCTTCAATTGAGGCCGAAGAGGCTTTGATCTGCTTTTGAACGAGGGAGTAGAGGGCTCCATCGGTTTCGATCGGCTTGGCGGTCTTTGAAGCGTTGATGATCTCGGCTTGCAGGGCACGGATTGTGTTTAGTGCAGGCTTGTTCTTCGCGCGCATGGCCGTCTTGAGGTCGGATTGCAGGCGAGGAAGCACGACATTTTCCGACGCAGAAGTAGACGAGTAGCGGACGCATAGAGAGCGGGCCGGAGCGAAGAGCTGCCTCTGCAGCATTGCTGTGCGGAATAATGACATGGTGGGTGATGAGTGTTGTTGCGTTGTAGTGTAGAAGTCGTATGAGGCAGGTGCGATTGCAACTAGAAGGAGCGACCACAGACGGTGTATGTAATGGGCTGGCTTGCGAATATGTTGAGTAACGAATCGTGGTCAGCCAAACATGTAAAGTTGAAAGCACAAAAGTTTGGACTACCAACGCGCTCAGACGCGAACAGCTAGCATCCCTGCGCGCCAAGCATCTCTTTTGTTGTGGACCGCCGTCACTTTTGCAGCTTGTACCTGAGCCTCAGCGTCGCAATTGCGCCAGAGCACCCTTTTGATCTTTCTCTCGGCGCGCCTGTCTTAATTTTATTTCATCGACGCATCCGCGCGCAGCTCATGTGCACGCCATCTCACCGGCGCGTTCCCCCAACCTCCATCTGAAGCTCGCTCTCACCCGGGCCACGACCAGCGCATCCCTTCGACTCTACACGCAATCCATCATGGCCTTCCAGATGGCGCCCGCGACGCCGCAACGCCCCACCCCCGGCGCCTTCGTCAACACGCCCGCGCCCAACCGGCCGGGCTTCACACGAACTGGCTCCATGTCGCAACCACAGCCGCAGCAACAGCAAGCGCTGCCTGCACCGCCCGCCGAGAGCCCCATCGATCGCGCATCGCGGACCATAAACAGCATGCTGGACCGGGACAACAGGTTTCCCGCGCTAGAGGCGTACATTGGACGTGAGTAGTCGGACATACCGGTAGAAGATGGGTGAGATGCTAACAGCGCCGTCTAGAGGGCATCTCTGGCGAGTATGAGATTCCCAACAGCCCAGCCTGGGCGCCTTTCCAGAAGCTGCGGTCCTACAAACTCCCAGAAGCCGTCTTTGAGCAGGTGGACCACACGCAGATGTCGACGAGCATGGGCCTGTTCGCCGAAATCAACCACGCCTGGGTCGTCGTCGACAACCAGGTCTACCTCTGGGACTACACACATCCGAACCCCGAACTCGTCGGTTTCGAAGAGCAACCCAGCAACATCACATGCGTCAAGCTCGTCAAGCCGCGTCCCGGTGTCTTTGTTGGCACCATCGAATACCTCCTCGTAGTCGCAACCGTATCCGACATCTT